CGCTTTTGCTGTAGCAGCTCCAAAACTGTGGAACGAACTTCCTTTAGAGATAAGACAGGCCAGTTCCTTATCTGTTTTTAAGGCACTCCTGAAAACCCACCTCTTTACCCTGGCTTTTGATACCTTGTGAGATGTTGGTTTCTATTTTTTATTTTATTTTAGCTGTTTTAGGTGATTCAATGCGGTTTTATCAAGTTTTATCAAGTTTTTATTTTTTATTTTATGGGGCTATTTTAATTTTATGTATCATGTGTTTTATTTATCTTTACTGTTTTCTGTTATTCAATTGTTTTAATGTATTTTCTGTACAGCACTTTGTTCCTGTGCTGGGTCTTTTAAAGTGCTTTATAAATAAAACTGGACTGGATTGGAACAGCAATGGACCGACAAGACACTGAGACAAGACAGGGCTTATATACACTGGGGCATGATGGGAGGCAGATGGGCTGCAGGTGTGTGGAGAGAGAACCAGGTGAAAGCAATGAACTAATCAGGGAGGAAACTAACATGACCTAAGAGTAAAGAGTAAAAAAAAAAAACAAAGACAAGATGAGCAGCAAAATAAACTAATATTCTAAGGGGAAGGGAAACTACAGCAAGCTGTGGAAAAAACATACTAAAGAGACTAATAAAATGAGAAGCTGAACCTATAAAAAACTGCAGAGGGGTGTCTGGGGGAGACTGAAGGAACACAGGACCTGGGAGGGAATATCTGGAGGGCTGAAGACCAGGGGACACATGAGGAACACAAGGAGACACAGACCATGACTAGTATAGGGTTTTATTAATTTTATTCTTTCGCAACACTTTTTCCATTACACGTAGTGTATTGCATCCATTTCTTCGCTTAATGCTCACTCACATAATTCCTACACATAGTACATGCAGGTACTCACAGTGCTAGGTTTCTTTTTGTTTGTTAATTTGCATTAGACGCCATTTTGTTGTGTCTACATTGAAGTGCCCTGTGTTGTGCTCTCTCTCCTCTCCTGAGTTTCGTCGATGATCCTCGCTTCCTGGGGGTGGACCAGTGGCGGCTGGTGAAAAATATTTTTGGTGGGGCTGTGCTATTTTATTTTTAAACAAACTTGTGCTTTCTGAGCTTTGTGCACAACTTCACTATTTCCTGAATTAAGCACAGCTCTTTTATTTCCTGTCTTACATCATTGGACAAACTGATTAATCCAGGTGTGTCTGACTATTGGCACGCTGCCTTGCGGACCAAGGTTGAAAAATACTGCATTAAATTGCACATAAAATAACATGACCATAAATGGTAAATAGGCAATGCAAGAGGCAAGTAACAAAAACATTTGTAGTGAACACGAAAAATTATGAGCAGGTCACTGTTACAGTAATGGTAGTAAACACTACTTAGACAAAATGCCAGACATTTACACTGTTAGGACTTATGGAAAGTGGAAACACTTTCATAGGAAATAATGTCATCAGTATCCTCTTAAAAATGTCACATTTCCCACTTCCCAAGCTGGGAAATTTGTTTGCTGCAGCAGAAGTGTAACAAGTAAAATGGAATCAGATTGATGTATGTACAAATTTACTTGAAATACACATTTACATGATTAAATATGTATAATAGGTATGTGTGTTGAAATTAGTTTTTACAGTTATTGCACATTAAACAATGTACATGTTATTAAACACATGTCCCGGTTTGTGGGACAACCAAGGATTTCTGATTCTGATTGTCTTGTTTACAGAAATGTAATGTACAGCTTACCTCTGCACCCAGCTGCTGTTCTCCCTGTCCAAACGTCCTCCGTTTCTTTGTTGGCTGCTGCACTGATGCGCTGCATTCCTCAGTCAGAGAATGAATGGAGTCCCCAATGAGACACAAGTTCCACATCCACCTTCTGTGGATCCCAGTCGTTTTGAATAACAAACACAGAAAGCAAAATAACGCATTTGCGTGATTGCATCCAGCTAGCCACTGCTTCGTGGTGTACCAATTTTGGGAGAAGCGTCGTGTGTACAGTTTACCTCTCTCCTCCTCCTGCTGGCTTATCTTTACGTCGGGCTGATCTGGTCCAAGCTCTTTGACATTAAGTTTTTCCACCATAGTTCTCCTCTCGAACGGATACTGGAGAAGAGACCGAACTGAATTCAGTGGCTGCTGAGATCGGTATCCATGTTGTAGGCGCACTGGCGTCCATGTCTACGTCTGCGTCACGACCGTCAAAACGTGCTGGAGTCGAGACTCTCCGAGTTCTACCGAACATCAACGAAAGCCTTGGCGGTAGCTCTATCGCCCATCATGCTTCTGAAACGTTCCGAAACAACGTCGACGATGATTGGATACATTCCCATTCCTACCCTTTGATTTTCTTGTCAGCAATTGGACAGCTGGTCCCGTCTTGTTTGGGCGATTGAAAAACAGCACACAGCCTCCACCGCTTGGCAGAGACCGGCAGAGATCGGCAGAGACCGGCAGAGACCAATATAGATATATATACATATATGATTTATTTTAGTTACAAAACACACAATTAACTTAGAATATGTGATTATTGTTAATTTTATTTATTTATTTTTTTAAATAAAAATTAAAAACACAGGGGAAACTGGGAGGGCGGCGCCCTATCGCCCTCTACTGGCCAGCCGCCACTGGGGTGGACCTATGACTCGTCATCGGATTCTACTCATCCTGATTGGTGTTCCGGCTCATAGGACCTAGATGTCTGTTTGTTCCGGCATGACTGCTGGGATACTTCGCTCGCTGGGACCTGACTTACCTGCTGCTCTTTCTTGTGCTGGATCACGATAAGTGCTATTACAAAGATCAAAATACTATTTTGGGGAGTATTCCCGACCCGTGGATATATAAAGTTTTGCTCCTGCTTCAAATTATTACTTCCTTGGAGATATCTTGATAATCTGCTGACTTGTGTGCTTCCCGAGGAGTATGCGAGACTGTTCTTCAAAGTGGGGTTCGTACCTCACCACTTTTGGCCTCTTCCTGGGGAATTGCACCCTGCTCTGTCGTCTGAGTCCTTCAAGACTCTGGTTTGTTCAATGTCAGGTGGTCTCTGGACGGACCACCTGACATTGAAAAGGGGGGTATGTAACGTGATGGAGGAGCTATTCCACCGAAGGTTATTTGCCTTCTCTCCACAGATGCCTCTGACACAGTACTAAGCTGCAAGAGACAGACCCAAGGTCATGCATTTGCTTCTAAAACTGTTTTCTTTCCAGCAAGAGAAGAATGAAGATAAAGGACTCTTTCCTTTTAATAAATCAAAGAACTCTATTTTTAATAAAGCTAATCAAACAAAGTGTCAGTCAAAATATAATGTTGACCGATCTGTGAAATGACAATGTTATGATTAGTATGCTTTAATAAGTAAATGACTTTATGACTTTAATCTAGTGCACTAGACACGCTGACTACACGTAATGTAAACACATGACACATTTCTGTTACTGATCCAATCAGAACCTTCCTTTCTGAAGCGTGGCAGAGTCTCTGTGGTGTTTATAAATCTGACAACTTTGATTCGACCAGAATTCAAAACATCCAGATTAATAAAACCAGTTCCTACGCCATCTTAGTCCAGTTCTCAACAGTTCTCACTGGAATTCACCGCACGCTAAGCGAAGTATCGGACCAGCCATCCGGACTTCCTTTTTAAGCAAAGAACCATCAAGCTGGATAAAATCTGTTGCATTTTACCAACCAAGCAACGGTTCCTTTCAGAATAAAAGCTGGACTCACTGACCCAAGAGGGGTCCATCTGACGCTGTCAACCACCTGTCGCTTTTTACCGGGAGACAATCCAAAGACTAGTCTGTCGTGCTGCTGACGCTGTTTCATCGGCTCCTGTACCGAAAGGGGGGTCCGAGGACCTGGCCTTCTGGATCTGTATGGAGGTCTCATTTCAAGGGTATGTGTGGAAGTGACAAATATGGCGTCTCGTGTTTAAGAAACTCCGATCAAACTCTGACCGTAATTAGAAGCAAAACATCACAACATCATTCAGACATGCTTCTCCGGATACGAGAGTTCTGATGACATCATCACTCACAAACACACCATTCATCTCACGTCTCATTACACCAGATCCATTCATCACTTAGAATTAGAGATAGTCTTGTTTAAAATTGTTTAAATTGTTTAGAAATAAATCATCTTAAACGTTTTAAAGGTGACTGTCTCTTCTCTTGTCTCTGACTTAATACAAGTGTTACATAATCCCTGCAATAAAAAGTTCCAATCTTCTGTTTAAAACAACCCAACGGTCCGTAAGATTGATTTCATATTTACTATGGAATCTCATGTCTCTCGGGTCCTTAACTTAACTTCTTTTACAACAGAATGATGGAGACTTTTCTTCTGCTTGTAGAGTTTAGATGTCCTTAGTTTCACAAACATCGTGATTTTTCTGATCCCGCCTGATCGTGAGCCTGCTACCCGCTAGCCTTAGCTAATCTGCTCGTAGCTACACTTTAGAGCCCAAACTTCAGACTGTCTTTCCCATTGTGTCTCCCAGTAAAACGCATCTTCCTTACACAGTAACAAGTAACTTACATTTGTTCAATAAAGTGAAAATGTAACTTGAAAAGATGTCGCACCAGTGCTATGTGTAAAACTAGTTTATCGCACAGAGTTTTTTCATTGCACGTGTGACATGTATGTCACACTGTACAGCTCTGCATTTACTGTTAGCCCTACCTCTTGTGTTCCACTGAAAACAGTTTAGATGGAAAATAATCCCCCATGTCTGGCCTTCTTCTTTGGTGGTGCATTTTCATGTGTTGATGAGTCTCATTGGTTGACGTTACTGTCAATCTCATTTTGGTGAGTAAATCTTCATTCTATTGGCTCTAACGATCCAAAGAGGTGTCAGTCATCCAAATCATTCACAGAGATGTCAGACTGCATAATGAAGCTTCTGGAATGGCCCCAGCTTCTGCGCTTTTTATGCAAGAAAGTACGCAGTGGAAGGAGTGTTACAGTCGCTTTATTCTGTTAATCTGACCACAGCTTCTCTTTTCATCCTGTAGTTGAAACAGCGGGGAAACGTCTCACTTCCCAGGATGTTGGAGGAAAACTGCTCCCTCGCTGCCCTTTTCTCAGCCTCCGCCACAGTCTTCAGTGACAGCGGCTGCCCCGACGCTGCTGTGATGTGTGGAATGAACATCTCCTGGCTTTTAGTCAACGCTACCAAAGACGATGAAAAGCAACTATGCATGAGTGAAGAGGAGTATCTTGCCATGCACCTTGGTCCTGCAAAGTCCCCCGTGTTCCTCCCTGTGTGCATCACCTATCTTGTCATCTTCATGGTGGGTGTCCTGGGAAATTTTCTGACCTGTGTGGTCATTTTGCACTACCGGGTGATGCAGACACCCACCAACTACTACCTGCTCAGCTTAGCCGCGTCCGACCTGCTGGTGCTGCTGCTGGGCATGCCGTTAGAGCTCTACGAGATGCAGCAGAACTACCCCTTCCTGCTTGGAGAAGGAGGCTGCTACTTTAAAATCTTTCTGTTTGAGACTGTCTGCTTCGCCTCCATCCTCAACGTCACGGCGCTTAGCGTGGAGCGCTACGTAGCGGTGGTGCACCCTCTCAAGGTCAAACACCTGGACACACGTGCTCATGTTAAGAGGGTGATCTTCATGCTATGGGGGCTGTCGATGCTGTGTGCTGTCCCCAACACCAGCCTGCATGGGATTGCTGTGTTGCCTCCAAGGTTTGGACGCGAGTTTCCTCGTTCAGCTATCTGTCGTACGTATCATTTTAGGTTTTACTTTTCTTTATCTATGTTTGGTTTTAATCATTTATGTTCAAACATTTGATGCCAAATGTAGTAAAGTATTAATGTTTTATGACTGTTTTTCTTCTAAAACCTATAAACAAAAGGATTCTTTAGAGCTAATAGTTAAGGTCTTCATCCTGCGTGAATGTGACTTAGATCCGTCTCTAACCTCCTCAGACGTGGTCAAGCCTACCTGGATGTACAAACTGATCATCCTGATTTCCACGCTGGTCTTCTTTGTGCTCCCCATGTTCATCATCAGCATCCTCTACTTGCTGATTGGCTTGCGGCTGCACAGGGAGAAGATAATAACTGTGGTGGGTGCTAATCCCAGCTTCGGGACGGACAGTCTCTCCAAGTCCCACAAGCAGAGGCTAAGCAAACGCAACCTGCAGGTCACCAAAATGCTTTGTGAGTCCGATTACAAAAACTCTACCTCCCAAATTAGCTAAGAAACGGAAAACTAAATATTCAAGACATACTAGTCGGTGTGAATGCAAACCTGACTTGATGCATCCATGTGGGTCTCCACTGTCTCTATAAACATTCCAAAGATTAAAAAAAAGCATCCATCAATTTTCTGTCATTATTTCAGGAAGTCTGTCCCTAAAATGAGCCTTTTCAAAAAGTCCCTGTTTGTGATGTCACAAACAGGCATCAGATTAAGATGCTCCCTAGTGTTCTCCCACTGTAGGTTTTCTTTGACCCGTATCAAACCTACAACACACTGGAGAGATTATAAATCCTCTCTGGTCTGGGAATATTTTGGGATCACCTAAAAGAAGCTGGGGAATATCAGCGGAAGTAGGAGGAACCTCTGAGGATCTCTCCCAGACCTCCATGACTGATTAGTTTAAAGAGCAAATTGCAAGTTAGAGACTCCCATGAACCAATGTTTAGAGAAACATAATAGAAACTCGTTTAAAAATATTTTAAACACATACATAAATTATTTAGGCTTTTAGAGTGATTTTTGCTATCATTTATTTATTTATTTTTCCAAACCAAGTGACGAGGGAGTCCTGTTAGCTTAATCCAGAGATTCTAATTTCTGGGGCACATTTATGTTTCAGCAAGCCTTTTCACCATGACTGATTTGGACTCTAATGCGGCTCTGACACAGAGGAAACGTTAAATGTTTATAATTCTACTTCTGATGGACCAAAACCATAAAGTTATGAGTTTGCTGCTCGCCCCAGAGAGCAGAGACAAACCAGAGGGAGAAGCCATCGGCCATAGCCGAGAGATTGTGGAGAAGTAGCGAAGGAGCTGCAGGTGCGTTAACGGGTTGCTAACATCACAATATTGTACAGATTACTATCACGTACCAGACAGTTAAAATAGTATCGGTCAGTTAATATAATAATATTACTAATGAGCGTCTGTCAGCTGTCTCATACTCGTTAATATCCGCTCACCTAACGTTGTTTAGCGGTTAGAGAGAGGGAGGGAGACGCCTGTCATCCGGTTCTGGAGCTCATGCGGGCTTCTGTGAGCTGGATCTGACCCAGAAACCAGCGAGCCAGTCCAGCTGGTATTTTTTAAAGCTGCGCAGGATCCTCTCCTGGAGGTCCAGGCACCGGTTCTGATCTTGTTCCGACCCAGAAACCAGCTCCACTGGCCCGTTGAGCCACGTGTCTCTTCTGGTGGTCAGTTCCGATGATGCTCTGAGGTCCAGAAATCTTTTTACTAGAAAACTCTGCTGTTATGAAAGTTAAAACTAAATATTCACAATAAGCTTTTCAAATAGTATTTTGGGACAACATTTAATATGAATTAGAAAAAAAAAACTGCAATTTACTCTTTAACTCTCTCAGGCTCAAAATAAGTTTTGATAAAAGGACAAACAACTAAGTCCTTCAGGGGTACTTCTGAGTTAAAACAATACTCATGAAATACGAACGTGGAGTAAAGCCTGGTTTATGCTTCTCCGTCAGCTCCGCGAGGGACAGACACGCACGGATTGACGGAAGCGTTTTGCTCTCATACTTCTCCGTCTCCTGGAGAGCGTTGCAAAGCAATTCCCCGCCAGGACCACAGAGGGTAGCGCTGTTCTGTGGTATCCTGTCATGTTTCAGTCCAAGATAGTGTGTTTATATTATGTTTTTTTGTATAAGAGACTTTTTAAGACGGACATATTTGTCTCTCTCATTGTCCTCCACCTCTTCATGCGCTCCCCACCTCTAAACCCACATTTCCTGTCATTTCTGTCCACAAATAAAACGCTTGCTGCGCATCTTTTCACTCCTCCAGTCACGGGGAATTAAACGTTCATGTTTTTAGAGTTTTTTTTGCGAGGTATTCTTCAAGCTGCTCCGTGTATGACGCTGGTTATCCTGAACTCTCTTTATGTTTTTGAGGGCGTAACGGCGGCGGTGTAGACAACAGCGGCGTCCTGACCAATCACAAGCGTGCGTTGTCCGTCTCGGCTGACGGGTATTTAGAAAAGAGAGCTCGACTCCATTCGTCCTTGCAGAGCTCTCCAGCAGTCCCGCAAGGACGTTGCGTGTCTCCGCACTGACGCAGATGGAGAAGCATGAATCAGGCTTAACCAGGTAGGTTTTAACGTTGCAAATCTGCAACGCCTGCCTCCAGAGGGTTAAATATAATGAATGATGTTTGTCTCGTGTGCTGCAGGTGTGCTGGTTGTAGTCTTTGGCATCTGCTGGGCTCTCTTTCATGTGGACCGTCTAATGTGGAGCTACATGGACATGTCCTCCGTGCAGCACCTGAAACTCTTTGAGAATGTCCACATCATCTCTGGGGTCTTCTTCTACCTGAGTTCTGCTGTCAACCCAGTCCTCTACAACTTCATGTCCACCAGGTTCAGAGAAATGTTCCGCCACATCACATGCCACTCCAAGGGCTGGCAGGCACCTGTGAGCTTAACCCTCTGATGCAAGAATTATGAAAGCCTTGGACAAGATTTTTTCCTGAAGTGCTTTTATTCTTCTCAGGACATGAAAAAAAAAGGTTCAACAGTTTTTTTCCAAAAATATGTTTTTTTAAATGAAGTTATCGACATGTCCAATCCAGTGGACTACATGCGCCTGAGCACTCAACATGAAAAACTGTACTTACTGTAAAAATGAAGTACCTTGTGTTCTATTGTAAATATACAAACACCTGTTTGCTTGTATGCTTTGAAAAGCATTCATCTCTATTCAGCCCCAATGTTTAGGCGTAAATAACAAAACAAATGAACAGTCATAGCTGTGAATCCTACATCTGAATATACCAAACTAGTATCTCCAACAGGAGAAACCTTTTAGAGTCCGCACAACTCTAACGATGCAGGACAGTATTACCAACTCCTTACATCAGTATGTTAGAAGAGAGACAAACTGACAACTTAGTCTCTGTGTGTCCGAACACGAATATGTTCATCACACCTAGGCTGTGTGAAAGTTTGCAAAGCATCCAGGGCACAATGGCACGGAGCATTGCATGCAGATGTATTTGGTCTTCTGTGTGCACGCAGCATCATGGCATCTGTTTGCATTTTTCACCTCGGTCAGTTGGCCCGTGATATCCTGTGGCGAACCTGACCTCACGTGCTACTTTGGTGACTGCTCTCCGTGTCACGGGTTGTGGGGTCCCACTGGGTCTTTCTCTTTTGCATTGCTGGAGGGTGCCGCTATTTATCAGTGCACGAGCCACAGATGCTTTGAAGGGGAGGAGTCTCGTCTCTTCCAAACCAGACATTTGGTAGAGACGCCAGGCGTTTACAACGGTCACATCCAAAAAAATGAAAAAACACCCGGATGTACCATCTCTTGTTTCGATGTCTGTGGGGGTACATTGCCAGACATTGGTCAACAAGATCAACCCCACCCATGTGTTGATTGTAAAGGGCCACAGAGAAGGGCTTTTGGACCATCATCATCTTTTTTGATGACTCAGGGCAGCTCGCTGAATGAGGAAGTGCCCAACAGCTACAGGTGGGATTAAGGCTTTCTGAGCAGAAAGGAAGTTGGATGGGAAAAGGCAACAAATAAATTAACAAAAGAAATAAAAGAAATGGGGGGGGGGGGGGGGGGGGGTATTCTTGTTTTAATCCAAACTCATGCTGAGGACTCAGGACACACCACCAGTGTCATCAACACCCACCAAAGGAAGCGAGGGCTTTCATCCTCCCCACAGAGCTTTAGGACTGTGATTTTGTTGGGATTATGGCTGCCCAGTAGACGCTTTATGTTGTTTTTTCTTTAGATTTAATTCCAGTCTGCGTGTGTTTAGGAAGCTTTTCAAACTCTAATTAAATAGTTTTATTATTTTACACTCAAGGTTTCCAAACCATGAGAATAATGCCATAAATGAATTTCCTATTGAAGTTCACATGACCAAAGAGGGTGGTCGCCCCTGGGTCCCGGGTCGCTGGGTCCCGGGCTCGGCCAGCTTGGGGGTGGGAGGCTGTGGGCGGGCCTGTGGGCTTGCCGCTGATATCTCCCGGGGCTCTGCCGGCTGCTGGTTGTGGCTCCCCGGGACAATCCTCTGCGCCTCTTGAAAGGGGGCTGGGGCTTTTCTGGTTACAGTCTCCCTGGGGTCCCTGCGCTCTGGGACAGCTCCTGGATCTTTGGGACTTGGAGCTTCTTCCATCTCCTACACATCTTTGGGGGGCAGATCTGTGGCCCCTCACACTCTATTGAACGCTCCTATAGAGAAACCCTACAGAGAGGTAAATCCTCAGTGCATCTTGGGCAATCATGGACAAACAGAAGGACAAAAGATCCTGACAATTATAGGAGATAGTAACCAGGACGCTACCGAAGGGGATCGCGAGCAGAAGCAAGGCGGAAAGAAGGAGGTTAGTAGAGAAAGATTTGAAAAAGTGGCCGGTGACCGCGGCTAATCCAAGCACAGGCACTGACCCGGAAGCAGAAGGTGGTATAATTTTTGACCAATCAACGTCTCTTGAAGGCCACTCAAAAACGTTGGTCCAAATTTGTTTTTATCACTTAAGAAACATCTCCAAACTGCGAAGGTTGGTGTCAAAACATGAACTTGAAATGGTTCTCCATGCCTTTATCTCCTCCCGACTAGATTACTGTAACACACTCTTCTCCTAACTGGAGCAAACAGAAGAGCTCACATCACTCCTATTCTGATGTCTCTGCACTGGTTTCCCGTTAACTTTAGAGTTCATTTTAGAATCCTGACTATAACTTTAAATGCTCTACATGATCAAGCTCCTCCCTATGTTACTGAACTGTTAAAGCCTTATGCTCCAACCCGAGCCCTCAGGTCCACACACCAGAACCTTCTAGAAGTTCCAAAGACCAGATATAAGAGTCGGGGTGCACCCTCTGCTGTTTTGCCTCTGTTGCACCCTGACTTTGGAATTATCTTCCTTTATCTATAGCGTTGACGGTCTGGACACTTAAAAAAACAGCTGCAGACCCGTTTATTTAAAGCTGCTTTCACATAAATCTTTTGTTTTCTTATTTTTAACTCAAACTTGTAACCATCTTATATTTGTTTTATGAAATTTTATAATTTTATGAATTAATTTTTTCCAATGATAACCTATTTCTGCTTTGAAATCATTATGTTTTATTTTGTTTTGATCTATGTGAAGCACTTTGTGATTCTATGTCTGTGATAAGTGATATATAAATAAAATGTACTTTCATTGTCGCTGCATGCTTGTTTAGTATGACGATTGCTGTTAAGTCACTAACACTAGTCAGTGACTCGATGCTATTTGCTGGGTTCCTTATAGGAAACTTACTGATTGTCTTAATGACCAGGGGTCTCATTTATCAAACATTGCGTAGAAGCTAGGGATGAGCGAGTACACCACTATCTGTATCTGTTCAACCAACTAAATTATCTGTATCTGTGCTTGGAATGGGCGTGACATAACCCGGAAGTGGGCGTGGTTTAACAGGAAGTGGGTGTGGTTTACATCAATATATTATTTTAAGTCTGAAATTGATATGGATTGATCAGAAGTTGATATGTGTATTGTTTATTTGAAAACTATTTACAGAGCAGCCTCAGAATTGAGATTAAATATTTTTGATCACAATAGTAAAGAAACTATTTCAGAAAAAGTGTTTCAATAAAATCAGAACATTAATATTTAAGTGCATGGATTAATACATCTGAACTCATGCAGTAGGAACTAGGAAATATGAAATGCTAGAACCAGACACAACTTAATGTATATTTTTTTATTTTAATTTGATTAAACTGATTTTTTTCTTAACGTTCTTGGCATTTTGCCACACACTAAGTTAAACAAAACAATGTTGATTAAGGTGTGTGTGTGTCTGAGAGAGATAGAGAGGGTGAGAGGGAGAGAGAAGGAGTTAAAAAAAATAAAAAACCCGACCGGAGCGGAGGTAGTGAGTGACTGATGCAGCACGACAGCTCTGTCTTGTCAAATGCACCAGGTAAGTTACGAAAAAGGTAACTTTAAATATTCAACCGAAAAAGAGGCGAGATGAAGAAAACCTAGAGAAAACTGAAGAAACGTGAGCAACAGTGAAGCAATCACAGCGAGATCCGTTACTGTCTGTGTGTGTGCGTGGATGAGCTGGACGGACTGCGCTCCCGGCCGGCTAGAGAGTTTTGTGTGTAGGGAGGGGCGGGCGCTCTATGTGACTGGCCAATCACAGAGCGTGAAGACAGTCAGTTACCCAATGAGGATTTTCCTTCAGCACGATTGCATATATTTACGAGGTTTACCCATTTCATGCTCGTACTCGTCAAAAATGCTTTATCCGTACCGGATACTCGTCTGAAACGAGTATCCGGCTCATCCCTAGTAGAAGCCTTCCTAAAACCGTTCTTAAGCTCAGCAAAACAAATGTACTTACGCCAAGTAGACTTGTGATCTATCAAACATGGAGTATGCACAGCTGCACGCAATCTCCGCTTCATAAATCAGAAACTATCTAAAAAGGTTCTCAGCATTAAAGTAATTAGTATTTTAATTTCACAGGTCGGTCACATCTTATTATTTGATGGATTAGCTTTATTAAATTAGAGTTATTTGATTAATTAAAAGAAAAGAGTTCATTCTTCGTTCTTCTGTCTTCATTGCTGGAATGTAAACAGTTTAGAAGCGAATGCATGACCTTGAGGCTGTTTCATACACTCTGGCACTGTGTCAAAAGGGAACAGTTGTTAGAGGATAGAAATGGCTCCTTCATCACGTTACATACCCCCCTTTTCAAGGGCACGGTGGTCCGTCCAGAGACCACCTGGTCATTGAACAAACCAGAGTTATGAAGGACCCCGACAACAGAGCAGGGCGCAATCCAACAGGAAGAGGCCCGCAGTGGTGAGGTACGAACCCCACGCCGAAGAACAGTCTATGGTTTCACAGTCTCGTATAATCCCTTTGGAAGCACACAAATCAGTAGATTATCAGATATTCCCATGGAAGCAATCATTTAAGCAGCAGCAACTTTATATCTCCACGGGTAATAATTTGGTGCAGGAGCAAAGCTTTAACGTATCAACGGGTAGGGAATAATGGGTTAAAAGTTATTTATGCAGTAGAAAACAGTTTGTTCAAATAAATAATGCTAAATCTTAATTAAAAGATATGTATTTCTAGCTGCTCCTTTTCATTCAAATGTTTTTTTCCTCAATATGTTAATGTATGTTGTATTTGTTTGTGTTTATTTTATACATTTTGAATGAAATAAAAGATTAAAAAACAAAAATTTTAAAATCACTCCAACAGTATATTGATCTTTGTAATTGCACTTATCGTGATTCAGTGCGGGAAAGAGCAGCAGGCAGGGCAGGTCCCAGCGAGCGAAGTATCCCAGCAGCCATGCCGGAACAAACGGTCGTCCAGGTCCTACGAGCCAGAACACCCATCAGAAGGAGCGGAATCCGACGGCGAGTAACGGGTCCACCCCCAGGGAAGCGAGGATCATCAGCGAAACTCAGAAGAGGAGAGAAAGCACAGCAGAGGGCACCTCAATGTAGACACAACATAATGGCACCTCATGCAAATCAACAAACAAAAAGAAACCTAACACTGTGAGTACCTCTGTTCTATGTGTAGGAATTACGTGAATTAACCTTTAAGTGAAGAAATGGATACTCTACCACTACATGTACTGCAAAAGGTGGTGCTGAAAGCATAAAATTAATCAAACTCTATCTGGTATCAGTGAATCACTGCACTAAATATACTCTTTATAAGGATGAAGGGCAAAATTTGTTGTAGCCCTTTAAGAGAAATTAACTAAGTTAATCATAAAGTTCTCAAACTTAATCACCCTAGCAAAAGTACTATAAAAAGATAGAAATGTAAGTGTCAACACTAAAAATGTAAATCAGTGAATTTAGTAATCCCTAACTGTGAATGTACCCATAAGGAATTATGATTAGTGAAGATAATAATAAAATAAAATAAAAAAATTGGATAACAGTAATATGTGGACTAAACCCATCTACTGTTAACTACCTGATTACCTGACTTCAGGAACCCACAGCATGTTCATCTCCAAGCCATGCCAAGAGGGCTACGTCGGTTCTGGGTGTAGCGTACTTCGATGTCGAAGCTTTGAAGAGCCAGCAGCCATGACACGATTCGTGCATTGGTCACCACACCATCTCTGATGCGCTGACTGTTAAGGAAGGTCACTGGCTGGTGCTGAGTCTCAATGATGATTTTCTGTCCACCAATGTAGCTAGAAAAGCGTTTCACCGCCTACATGGTGGAAAACAAAGCCTTTTCACAGCCAGAGTACTTCAACTCAGGACCGGACAAGAGCTTACTAGCATAGGCTACCACACGCCTGTCGCAGTCATATACTTGGTAGAGGCCAGCACTCAAACAATGAGCTGAGAAACCGACCTCAAGGTGGAACTCTTTGTCGCAATCCGGGAGCGCCAAGCACGGAGCTGAGCATAATGCCGCCTTCAGGTCCTCCATGGCCTGTTGCTGCTGCTCAGTCCACTCAAAAGGCACATCCTTCTTCAGTAGATTAGTCAGAGGTCTCGCTATCTCAGCGTAATGTTCCACAAACTGGCACGAGTAGTTGCA